ATAAAATATTATTGAACATGACAAAGATAACACCAAGAATTACTTCTTTTTCTTTATTTCATCATATCAATTCTCTTGTCATATATATGCCAATAATATGTTCATCATCATCGAGCAATTTATTGAATATTGGTAAGGAGAATACATATTTCTTTTAATTATATAGTTCAGTTAATGAAAATGAATTTGTCACTTTCAATTTATTTAAACTGAATATTTTCGATTTTTATCATATATAGACAAATTTGATTTGATTATTCTTCCTGTCGTTTTTATTCATTATCTTTTTTTTTAGTGAACTCTGTTTAATCAAATGATAATGATGATTCACAGTAATGTGTTACTTATCTTTCATATATTGTTCATTTATCAAATGAACAATCAAAATAACTTTCAATCATATGATGATATATCTGAATGGAAAGATATTCAATTTATTCTACAGCAAGTATACTTGATATTGATGGAAAGTCATTTTTATTTTCCTATGTCGATTTCTAAATCTATGAGTTATTTTTGATAATTCTAATATACTTTTCTCAATGAATTATTTCATTTTATGTCAGATAGATGATATTGAATTCTATAGAATAATAATCATTGGCAATAAATATAAATATATTAAGTATATTATATTTTTCTGTTTTAGAGCATGTCCAAATGTGATTTATCTTAATATTAGTCCTTCAGATTTGGTTGTATCAGAATTCATCGATAATTGATCTCTTATTTCAATTTTCAAACAAATTAAAATACTCAGATTAATAACAAAAAGTCGTTATGTTCCTTCAAATTTTCCATCAAAACTTGTTCAACGTTTTCCATCACTTACTGTCATTGAACTTCACGTATTTTCATTCGATGATTGTATATCTGATATTGATATATTACTTAGTCATCTTGAAAATTTGTCTTATCTTAGAATTTATTATAGTCAAGTTTCATTACTTGATCATTCTTTTTCACGTAGTTACATTATAGATAAACGTCGTCAAGCTTTTGGTTTTAATATCATCGATGAACATAAGGTTATAGTTAGCAGGAATAGAGAATCTATAAAAATTAGATTATCATGATTTTATATGTATATAGATTTATTTTTGCTGTAAATAAAGTTGGAATGAAAATGTGTTTTTTAAGTCCTTTTTATTTGAAGTGACAACAATTATTCGGATTGTTGTACGCCTTAGAAGGTTAGATGAATATTCAGGTAAATTTGATACATTGTGTAATGTTCAAAAATAATTGCAACATTTAATCATTTCCTTGAATCATTATTGTATCCAACTACGTACATGTAAAATAATGTAAAGACATTTCGATTAGCTACAAATCCACAACTAGATTTTGATTTGTTTGAGTCTATTTACATAATCGGTATGATGGTCAATCATGATCATTGAATTGTTTATGTGTATGAACCTTTTCAAGTTTCATTAATATTGGAAAAGATTTCTACATTTCTACTCGTCCTGATAATTTATTGACCAAGCTTTTCGAGAGATTTGATTAATATAATGTGGTGTACAAATTAATCATATGCAATTTAGAAAACTTTAATTATATAGGTTGTTCGTTAAGTGAACAGACTGAATAAGGTCTTTATTTACAACATTCTTTTTGTAATTACGTCTCATATGAAACATGTGAGAGAAACCGTTGACATATTCATTTCGGAAAAGTTGTTTAGGAAGTATTGAGTGAAAATCCGATATCCGTATTATTTACATCTATTTCTCCCTTTTCTGATTATTTATTTTCGTTGAATAACAGAATTAAAAATATACTAGTACGATATTTCCAAATATCTATCAATCGTCAAAGGAAGTGGCACCTATACCTCTCCTCCCTCACTAGTTGGTTTTTCTCTTTAACGATCTTTTCCTTGTGGTTGATATTGACCTTCTATTATACTTAGGTGATACCAAAAGTAGTGGCCCCCGCATCTTAATTTCGTATAGACCGCTTGGAAAAAATTTCTTTTTTTGTGAACAGATAGAGTGTCTTTTGCTCTATCTTTCTGTACTATTTGATCACTATTCAACTAATATCATAATAATAAAATTTCGATAAGATCTATTTCTTTCGCATGTATCCTGGTACCATGAACATGAATGCTCGTAGGTATTTTTTGAATAACGTTTGATAGCAACAAGATAAAGAACTGCGATTTTCACCGATGGAAAGAAGGGATGAAGACGCATCGAACTGTGTATTACTGATTTTTCTAATACGATATCTGAAGTTTTTTATTCAATTTTCTAACTGTTAAAAACTTCTTTTTTTTTATGAAAAACAGAAAAAGCAAACAAGTCGATAGAAAATCGTCGTTAGATTACGTATTATTTCTAAATAATTAAATTTAAACATCTGAGTCTTCGCAGTTTGTAGATCTTGAATTAGCGGTTTGAATGTGAACCTGATTATGGAATATTCACCGTAAACAACTCACGGGATAGATTTGTTCTTTAAAAGGTCAACTGAAAACCTCACAAAAAACAGGTTAGAAAAATCACTAATACGCAGTTCAGTGTGTTTTCAACTCCTCTTTCCAACGGTGAAAACCGCAGTTCTCTATCTTGTTGCTATCAAACGTTATTCAAAAAATACCCACTAGCATTCATGCTACAAGCACATATGCGAAAGAAACAAATCTTATCGAAATTTTATTATTATGATATTAGATGAATAGTGATCAAATAGTACAGAAAGATAGAGCAAAAGACGCTCTATCTGTGCATAAGAAAAGAAATTTTTTCCAAGCACTCTATACGAAATTAAGATGTGGGGCTACTACTTTTGGTATCATCTAAGTAGTTTCGAAAATCTGGTTTTTGAGGTTTTCAAGGAACCTGGTCGGTTATGAGACCCTTTTATCGAGATGAATTATATACCATTCGATAGAGCGTGGAATTCTGCATTGATTGACGTATGATTCATGAATGGCTTAAGTACTGAGGCGAATCATCATGGTTTTTACCAAAAATGCTAATTTTTCCCTCTGCGTCTTATGGATTGTTTCTATTTTTGTGACGCTTAAGTTGAAGTTTTGGGGTATCTGATGACATGGTTAGATTCAGTTCGTCGAGTACTATGTGGCTTACTAGTTTTCGTTGGTGGCTTAGTCACTCAGGCGAATCGTCATGGAAAATACTTGAATCGGTTGCTAACTTTCCCTACATAGCCAAGTACTGCTATTGCTCAAACTTCAAACGATCTTTTGAATAGAATATATCCGTTCTCAATAGCACCATAGCATGTTCAAGTAATTCTTCAAATGGATGGTCCTGATAGTATTTTACTAAGTTTCGGTGAAGAAACTAGAGCATTAAATTGTGGTGTTAAATTACATGAATCAGGTATTCTTCAAAAATATTCATGTAATGTATTAGGGTGAGGAAAATATTTTCATATATTAAATTATCTTTTTTTTTGTTTTCGATAATATCAATAAAACATCGATTCAATCAATTCAAACTACTACAGATCGATGTTTATTTACACAAAAAATGGCTGAAATTGGAGAAAAAGTTCCACCATGTGAAGTTGTTAAGAGACGCCCCATGAAGAAATCAAATATTTTCGAATATCGGAAAACATGGGGGTCAACCGATTTTGGATTTGACCACCTAGAAATTTCAGATCTTATCTACCATAGATGAATTCAAAATATTACACTCTAAAGATCTACCTCTGGTTTGCTAGGGCTGTCGAATCAGAGGCACTCTCAAAAATAGCTCAAAAAAGTATGAAAAATTGACCTATAATTTTTTTGAAATTCTATGGTCATAAAGTTTTCACTGTTCAAATTGAGTCATATACCAATCGATAGAGCTTCACTTGCTTTACAAAACTATATATAGAAGTTTGCAACAGTAACTTTGAATGATTGATTTTAATTTAGGAATCTATTAATATAATATGATTAAGCGTCATAAAGAAGACATTAATAACATTGGTATTCGCATTTCGAAATTTGATCCATCGAATGAAGTTGCTAATGAAGAATACAACGTAAAAAGTAATGAGTTATCTGATCATAAAAATCGAAGGTTGACATGGGTTTCCAATATAAATCTACTCCTGTGATCTTATTGCTGATCTCATCAAATCTATTCGGTCAGAATCGCCACGTCATGTCTTAAAACATTCGAATAGAATGGATAAATTTTTATCTATTTTTTATATTCTCTAATATCTCGTTTATAGAAAAAATTAGCAAACATCCTCTGAAAATCATATACAATGATGCATGTTCAATCCAACTCTATATAAATGCTGAATAAGACACCAATTACTTCAAATCAACCTCGGTCAGTGATCATTTATTTCATAATGTGCATTTAATGCTCGATTCATTTCAGAAACGCAACCATGTTCGACATATGTGTCAAAATGAAATGTAAATCGGTTACCCTCAAAAAAGAAAATATTTAGTTTTGTGAACATCCAGGTTGCAGAACATATTTTCTTCAAATCTAGTTAGTATAAGAAGCATTGATCTATTGACTCTTATCCGAAAATTGATATCAATTTTTCTCTTTTTTCCTTTTCTATAATTTTGAGCTAGCTAAGGTTCTAATTGAAATATATTTCAGAAGTTCAAGAGAAAATAAAACAGCTACCTTATAGCTTTTACCATTAATGTTAATATTCAAGTTATTCAATGATGAATTTCAATATAGTTAACATTAACAAGATAAATATCCCGACTCAACCCAACACGAACTCAAAAAGATACACTCAATTTCTATAAACTTTTCATAATAAAATGAATTTCTTCATCCAATTCGATCCCAAAGAAAGACAATTAATTTCAATATATTTCCCATAGTAGAAAGAATTTCGTTGTCGAACCCAACCCTAGAGATATACTCTTCATGCCTATATTCTTTTTATATTAAAATCAATTTTCTGTACTTATTTCTCAAAGAGTTGAATTAAGTTTCTATAAAATTTTTCTCATAGCCACTTCATTCGAGCTTTCTGGAAATAGGAGCTTACCATGTCATAGGTGTATTTGGTATACGCTTACGCATTGTAGCTGTTAGAAAACAATGCATACATATTTTAAGGTGTTCTTGATCTAAACGAACAAAACATTCTCCACACATTGGAAAATGATGACAAGGATCATATTCATGTGTAGCATCATTTTCTGTACATATAAGACAAGCATTATCTATTGTTTCAGCATATGTCATATTTTGATTAAATGAATGAGATGAAAATGAATTTAGTTGATTTACTGGCGGACGTTGAATTTTACGTTTTGTTACACATTAAAAGAATAGTTTTATCTAATTAATAATAAATATATCTATCAGTGCAGCTCCCATCAAGGCTAAACTGTGGAAATAACATGTGCTCTTTAATCTCATTATACTAATACAAAATACGTTATGTAAAAAATCTCTAACATACTATAGTTGTTTTCCAAGGATAAACGATTATCAGACAAACGATTAGTCCTAAGTGTGCCTGAATTTCAAATAGAAATGTTTTCCTTTTTGTTATTGTCGCTTTACATTTTGTTTGCATTGTTGCTATTCACTGGTTAATTATCATTTTCTTACTTCGCTCTTCTTAATTTAACACTATTCACTATTATTATAATTATTGATTAAACTGGCAAAGAAGTGTGTTACACGTATTCATTATGTCTATCGAAGGTCTTAACACACTATAATATATATCGATAAGGTCGGAAACATTGATGTTTATTATTTTCCAAAGTTATAACTTCATTAGTTCAAGATTATTTATTTTGATTATATGACGAATATGGCAAACCAATACCCCACAACCCATCATTCTTGAAATCTTGAATATAAATTTCTGTCCGAGCCAATATAAAAAATTTCACTATTTAGAACATTGAAAAATGTATTTCAGCGATTGAAATTTTCAGAAAGGCTTTTTAATGTCCTAAAACATTCTAGGTCTTGTTGTTGATACCGTTCAGTGATCTTTTACGTTGCTAAAGAAATATGAGAAAGGAGTCTGGCACCTGTTGTTCTCGATTGCTATGGAAAAATACTCTATGACGGTTGGCTTTTTCCCTAGCTGCGCTGCTAGAAGTTAGCGAGGAAGAACCATGGATAATATTATTGAGAGTAGAATAAAACGAAAAACATTGAAATTATTATGACAAAAAAAAAACGAGAATATCAATGGGCAATAATATATGGAACCACTGTTGTCTTCACAATTTAGATAGATCAATTTGTTTCTCAGGTTGTTTTGTTTACAAGTATGTTCTGCGTCATATGACTAGAGTGTCAGTTTTTTTTGTTTTCTTCTGAATAATTAACTACTGTCATTTTCTTCAACGGTTGCAAAGGGTATTGTTGAATTTGAATCAGCTTCTTCAAAAAATAATGTTAACCATTTTTTCTCTAAGCATTCTTCTAATTGTCGACATGATACAAGTAACTTTTGAGATTTTTGAAACCAATCATGATAAATAACACCTGCTGAATGCATACGATGACCTGCATCCGGTACTAATAAACGACAACGTAATAAATCTTTTACTTCTTCTGTTACACAATTAAATAATTCATCTTGAAACAATTGTGGAATATTGTCCAGTTGTGGTAATATATTCATATCTTCATGAAATGGAAAATAGCCAGTTATACTTACAAATATAATGACACCAATAGCCCACATACTAGAAAAGTAAAAGAAAATTTAGATATTTTGTTTTTTTTTCTGATTAAATTATGAAAACATACTCCACAGTTTTATTGTAACCTTTAGCACGTCGCCATTGATCAAGAGAAACCTCTGGTGGTAAATAAGCAGTAGTACCGACTTTTGTATAACGTAATGAATGTTCATGAATTGTTCGTGCATAACCGAAATCACCTACAATGAAATACCTTCGGAATATTATTATGTAACCGTAAACCTTACATGATTATACTAAAGTTACGGTTCACAGACGGAAATAATATTAAATTCAAGGAAATTTCTAGTTATGAGCAAAAGTTTTTTTTTTCATTTTTTATTAGTTTTCTGCATTCTTATATGCCATCTCAAGTGTATTATTATCGGTAGACTGTTATTTGACATTACTGAGTTAATGTATGTTTCCATTCTGAAGAGAATTTTTTCGACAAATTAATAGTTTATTTTGTATCATTTTTTACAGAATAATAGCTTGAAGATACTTTTAATCAAAATAATATTAATGAAAAATGAAAGAGTACATACCAACTTTTAAATGTACCACATCATCAGGAAATATGTTGATTAAAACATTATCAGGTTTTAAATCGCAGTGTCTATTCAATAAAAAAAAATATAACATCTTATAGGTTTCTTAAAAATAAGAATTTCTTCTGCTTTTTTACGCTATATTTTTAAAATGTAGATAACGAATAGCAGCAACAAGTTGAAAAGCAAGAAATCTTGTAACATCTTCATTAAGACGAGATTTTGGATTTGCATTTGACAGAATAAAATTTAACATGTCAGTATCTAATCGTTCGGTAACAAGCAGTATATGATGTTCAAAATCAAATATACCTTCAAATTTCAGAATGCCTTGAAGATAAAAAAAGAAAATTTTACAATTTTTCTTTCGTTTTCGTAAAAAACATTTAATAAAACAAACCTGGATGATTAAGTTGAAATAGATAAGCGGCTTCTTGTTCAATATTTTCTCGATCTTTTTGTGTGCATTGTGTTGTTTGAATTTTTTTTATTGCGACACGTACACCATTCCGACGCATTGTACCACCAAATACCATACCAAAACGACCCATACCAAGAATATCTTTTTCATTCATATCATATAAATCCGCAAAATCTTTCGTATCATTTTCACTGCCACGAACGATTTTAAATGATGAACGTGCTTTATGATCTTTTGTTGATTGTACAGCTTCATTTATTGTCTCAAGAAGTAAACAAGCTAATTTTTGATAAACTACTGCTTGAGACGGTGATGATCCAGATATATTGTCGACTGATTGTGAACCATTTGCAGCTGAACTAGATGCTGATTGAGACCGACAACCTGAAAAATGATATTAATATTCAATATTAATAAGAATTTAGAAAAACATTAAATTCGTTTCTTCATTGTTTAGAGACTTTGCCATATCAAGCTTGTTTTCTTAGTGTAGTTTTGATAAGTAAAATTTACAATATATGCTCACTCAATTTTTGAGTAATATTTTAAGCGAATGAGTTTTTCAAAATTTTACCTTCAATATCTGTTGCTGGTATTTCAAAAACATTTTTGTTTCCTTGATCATCTTTTTGTATAAATCGAAATTTTTTCTTATCATATGATATTTCTGTACGTTTACTATGTCGACTTTCTCGACCAAATTGTCCTGTTGCTGTCCATACACCATCTTTTTCATGACAATTTGTTAATTTAATATCTTTACGTTGATTTTGTTTAAAATTCAGTTGTGCTGATATTGATGATCGAGTATTTATATTTGCATTTTGATCTTGTTGAAAACGTGCATTTCGACGTGAATTATTTGTCGATGGATTTGGTATTGATGTGTCATTTATATTATTTAATGAAGAATTTTGATTATCACTATTTTTATTTGAATTTGTTAAAATTGATTTTGACGGAGTTGATTTTGATGATGTTGAAAGTATTGATGACGACGAGTTTCCTGATGATTTTGAATTTGATGATGGATGTTTTGATATTGAAACATTAAATAATTTTCCAAGTTTTGTTCGTTTTTGTGGAGTGTGAGATACACTTGAAAAATCCTGATCCGTATACACCTGACCTTGTGACATTGAACTAACCGTTGTATTTGATGATTCACGACGTAATGATGAACCACGTCTTGTGTCTGTACCTGGACAATCAGCTGGTAAATGTTCAGCACATTGATGATGAAAATCACGTCGACATAGTTTACATCGTTTACCCTGTTTTGTTTTTTTAAATTAAGAAAAAAAAATATGTTAATTAAATAAAAATGAATAATACAAAAACAAACAAACTTGTTTGATTAAACCCCACATAAAATAATCACAAGCTGAACAATATGTTGGTTTTTTATAACTATGTTCAGCAAGTACATGATCGAGGGGTGCAGTAAATGTTTCTTGATCTGAACGCCATATAATTATTTCAATAAAACATGTTGGTGTTAAGTCACTTGAACGTGTTATTAATTTTAAACTGGGTGGCTGATGATCTGGTGATATGAGAAATAATTTAATATGATGACGATGATTATTCACTTCGAGACTGCCAATGGCTTTTGATACAATGTCAACTGCATATCGATTAAGTTCAATAAGAACATTCGGATTTGATTTATCAATTTGAATCGATTGATAAGTTATACCAAATTTCAAACAAATAAATATCAATTCTTGAGATAATTGTTGTCGTGCTGCCATTGTTATGATAGTTGTATTTTCAAAAAGAAAATACTTTAAATTATCATATCTAAAAATAAAAAGGAAAATAATTTTTATTTTTTCTAGTGGTTTTTTGTTATTGGTTGTCTCTTTCGAACAGGTGACTGCCATTAGAACGCTTTTAATGAGCGTCATTATCTTTGACAACATATTCAGGATATTGGCAATAAAATTCTTCGTGTTTCTTCGTTTTTTTTCTCTTGATAAGAAAGAAAAAGAAAGAAAGGAGCGATTAAAGTACCTTTATGAAATATGATAAACTCGAGAAATTTATTTCATGTTTATTTTAACTAATGCATGAATACATCCTTTTATGAATCAACTATTATTCAGACGGATTAAGTAGAACATATTGTTTGTGTTTATACTTGTGTATGTGAAAATGTAAGGAACTTACACGAGAAGTATACTTTACTGTAGACATAAGCTGATGCTGCTTCCATTCTGTTTTCTTTTCATACACTTTTTTTTCTATATATGCAAAAGAAAAATGACTTTCTTTTTTTATTTTTCGTCTTAATTTTATACGCGAACAAATGGTTGAATGACGAAAGCATGATCATGACATTTTCGTTTTCTGTCATTGTCATGATGCATAAGAAAATGAGTGTGAATTCATTATGGTTTTTTTTCTCATTAAATTTTAAGTATTCTGTTCAGTGCATTTGGTTTAATAAGAAAAACAATTGTATATTCTATGATAAGCAGCATAAGATATTAACAATTCCATCAATAAAAAATGAATCCTAATCTTTTCAAGGTGTTTATGTGTTTATTTTTTAATCTAGAATGCACAAAAAGAAATCAGATAACGGGATCGATTATCATCACGCTAACAAAATAGATAGAAACATTTTCATATGCTCAACTTTCATGTTTAACAGATCTTAATCATCGAACAGAGTTAGTTCAACCTTATAGACAAAATATTCTACTCAAACAAATAGATAAACATCAAGTTTTTACAATACTTAGATTGTTTTTTGTAACAAAAAAAAAAATAAAATAAAATAAATACAATTACTCTATCATATGTAGTATTAGACGTAAACTATAGGTGCTCATTCCCATTCTCTCAGATAAGATATATATATGTTTAAATTTTAAACATACCCTTTAATATTGTTTTGTTTTGTTCGTAAATTGTAAGTTTTTATTAATTATCGTAAATCAAAATTAAACGGTCGTCATGATAATACTTTAAAAAAAAAAAGAAAACTATAAACTAAAATGAATGGTGATTGTCGCACGCGGTTGTGTAAGTTACTGTAGAAAAGAAGTGAGATTTGATTGATAGACAATTTCCTTACTTTCTTTTCCTTATCGTTTATTTGCATGTTTTTTCTTTTGTATTTAGTCTCATGATACGAAAAAAAAGACGAAGGTAACTATTAATATACAGTGATTGCAAAAAAATTTATTTAGATTTCATTCTTAATGCATCGTCATCGTTGTTATGTTACGCTTCTTTCGCTTTCTGTTCTCTCATTTTTTTTTCCGACTACACATACATACATTCATTACCTACACCGTATGCCGATGAAAAAACGGAGAGAGAGAAAAGAAAAAGCAAAAAACAGCAAGACTACTTACCAATAAACAACCAGGTTAATCGTAGACTATACCTCTAGACACTCCGTTTCTTAACAGATGTGTGCTCTCTGTTTATTATCTATCACTTTTGTTGAATAGCCATTTTGTTTTTCTAATCAACACGTGCCTTATGATTTGATTTTTACGTATCTGAATTTTTTTCTCCTTTACTTGACACGTGCTGTTGTCATCGTAGTCGGTTTTAGTTTTTTGTATTGATTTTATTTTATAGCAGATGTATAAATATGCAGAGCATGATCAGCAATTAATGATATCTCACCTCCCGTGACTTTTGTCTATGTATGCAAACGTAATCATATCGTCTAAAAGCATATATTTACGAGAACAGATAATTTTATGTTGATGTAGAAAAAAAAAAGAAAATGTATTTACTGAAGCAGTCTCAAAATAGGTAATTATTATGAAACTGAAAGGATTTTTTCGAAACCTTTCAAGTCTAAAAGTACATCTAATCTTATTTGCATTATAATAAACATGCTTTAAAATGTTAATTTTATAAAATAATTTTATTCAGTAAATATATTCTATTTTTCGAAATCAAACCCAATAGAATTATATAAATAAAAATGAAATAATTATTAATATACAGTACCGTTTATTACACGAATAATAATTATAATATTTCTAATTAGAAGAAAAGAAATTAGAAAAATATCCCGATAATGTTGCATATAACCTTAAGAGTATTAAAGCATCAGTTTTTGTTATCATTACTATCATCCGGATTAACTAACAACATGATGTGTCTGTAACCAACACAATACACACAGTTATAAACACTTGCAAAAAAAAACAACAAAGAAATACAATCTTATTATAGTGTGCTGCTAGAACGGAAATAAGATTTTTCTTTATTTTATTTTCATTTAAAAAATATGTGTCAATAGAAATTTTCGTAGGCTTCAATGAATTAATATATATTGTAAAAAATATTGAATAGACTTTGAGGACATCTAAAGCAATTAGTTTTCACTTTTGCTATATTAATTTTCAAAAGAATAANAGAGAGGATCCCAGATAATCCTGGATTGGCCTGAACAACACCATGTTTTATCCTTACAATAGTAGACAAAAGCTACCAGTTTCTCGTGTGAGCTGGTAGCTTATGTCTACTATTGTAAGGATAAAACATGGTGTTGTTCAAGCCAATCCAGGATTATCTGGGATCCTCTCTCATATGACCCGGACAATAGTATGTTTTATCCTTACAATAGGACTGTATCAAAATGGGACATCCTGCCAGTTGATCGCCCCCATATATATTCTGACTAAAATAATTAGGAAAAAGCAAAGCTAACATTAGTTTCGTATTATTCTGAATATATAATTCCAAGAAAAAGTTCAACCATATTTTCCTTATGTCATCTTTCAATCAATGAGTCATTAAATGTATTTTGTCAATTTGAACTTAGAGTTGTGTAGGGCTATTAGGGTACGAAAAAAGTCTACCCTACACATCTGTATTCGGATTCATCTTATTTGTTTTTTTTTGAATAATAACTCTGATTAATACTTCTATGTTATAATGATGCTGAACTTTATATTAACATATACTCAATAATGATTATATCATATGCATGACAATACAAACTTTTTTTCATATTTACTTACGTTAATGGAGATCGAACAGGTATCATATTCATTGATGTCGGCAGCAATAAATCATTATCTGTTGTCCACTGTGGAATAAAATAATCCATATTTAATATTGATTTTGTTGATGGTTGAAAATTATTTGACCAAAAATACAGGTTAATAAAAACCACAAGACTTGAATGAATAAGATAAAACAATGTTAAATAATGAAATAATCGTCGTTTGATTGTTTTATATGATTGAGTTATATGTTGATTACGAATAAGACATGAATTCGTTGTTTGTGATAGATTTGTTTCGAGTGTTGTCGTTGTTGATGATGATGGTGTTGATGATGAATTAAATATTTGTGTATTATCAATAAAATTTTTATTAAATATAATTATCATTAATTCAACAAGTCGATAAAGTATATAAAGACGTATTAAAAATGGTATTAGTAATAAACGTGTTGAAAGATTTTTAATATCAATTAAATTATTTATCCATAAAATAATATCACAAGTTAAAAGAATAAATGTAAAAATTATAAAATAGGCATAATTCGTATGATAATATATATAAAGAAGAACAATATCTAATGTATTTGTTAAAAGATATGATATAATAAGAATAGTAATAAATAATATTGATAACTTTGAATGTAATTTATTTGTTTGATTTTTATTTTGTTGTATATGTGGAGATAATGTTAATGATTTAGTTGATTTTGGTGTTGTATATATAGTTGAAAATGAATAACTTTTTGTTAAACAAATACGTGGTTTAAAATTTTTTTGACAACGTTCAGATTGTGTACGAACTATTTGATTTAATGAAGGTTTTAATGATAATGATGAATGTATTATATTTTCATTAGCAAATGGAATATTATCACATAATGTTTCATTATCAATAGATAAATTTTCAAGTGTATTTGTACTTTCATTTGAACCTGTACCAAATGTTGTCCAACTATGACGATTATCAGATGTTGCTGTTGTTGTTGATGGTAATATATAAAAATTCATACCATGAGATGAAAATCTTTGATAACGATTTTTAACATTATTTGATGTTGTATTGTTAGATTCATTAATTGATTGTTTTTCTTGTTGTTGTTGTTGTTGTTGTTCGATTGAACGAAAGTCAAGATTCGCAAGACTTGTATGTTTACATACAAGTAAATGGCATTTTGGACAAGCACTTAAACTAAATGAATAGTGTAATACATCCATTAGATCTACAATGATACTATTTTATTTTAGTTTAAATGAATAAAAGAAAATTATATATATATTATATATCTATTCAAAATCACACTTTTAGGTTAATCCTTTGAATCATATGGATATCTGTCGTTGAAAATATTCGTTAGAAAAAGAAAAGAAAGAAGAGAATGAGACTACTTATACGATTTATGCTAATTTTTGTCTATAATATCAGTTGATGACATTGATGCATATATTCACTCGTTAAATCAAGAGCGTACAAACATAACAATGCAACACAAACAATAAGTTGATCTACCTGCATCCGATTAAAGTGCTTCTCTTTCTTACTTTTATTTTTATATTGAACATAGACAAAGTTCACAATTGAGGATAGTAGTAAGTGACATGACCTATCTTTTCATAGTGTGATATGACAATAATCGACTAGCTCAATCAATCGCGCGAACGCATCTATAAGAATTAGATGTTGGAGAGATTTATATTTATTAGTATGTGTACAATGAATACTATACTATTCATAGTTCAGCAATGAAAGAGAGAGAAAAGAGAGAAGAGAGAGAGAGAAAACGATAAGTTGGTCGATGCTTCATGCCGTCTGCTTTTCTCCGTTATCAATTTCAAATTAAACTAAAGTGTATAGTTTATATGTTCAAAGATGAACATACAGAGTGTATGCTCACTTGCGGCTTTTGTTGTTCTCCATTGAATTACTTTTTATTCTCTCTATAGGTATATATTTCGTCGTGTTGTTATATTGACTAATGATTCCATGATGATGATGATGAGTGTAGGTGGTAATAGTAGTGAACGACTCGGTCAATTAGACGTGAACAAATAAGCGGAGGATGAATTTGTTTTTGATTGTGCGATGCCGATCGATAGTCAAACTATATCCTATTGAAAAAAACTTTTCTTTTTCGAGGAGCTTAACACTAAAAAATGATGGATAAAGCTATAACCTTGTGTGAATATAATGTATGTTTACTAATTGAACGTGTAATGTGTGATGATTTTCTTTTTCTTTTCTTTTTCTTCTCCTACTAAGAAATATGAGAAAGAAATCGAATGGTCTCAATGTCACCATCTTACTTTTTTCCATTCTCAATCTCATCTCATCTCATCTTTATTTTATTCAATTCATTTCAAATAATTTGATGAGAAGCTTTAGCAACGACGCAATAGAACACGTTAAAATACTATTCAATCATGCACGGGATTGTGATCGAGCAGAAAGTAATAACAGGTGGAATAGCAGTAACTAAATAACGATGGATACCTATAGACAATTTGCTATTGTCGACGACCTTTGAGTGCTGACACATAAAAGAAAAAAAAAGAAAATGAGAGACAGACAGACAAAAAGCATTTTCTTTTCTACAATGATAGACATATTACTACTGCTGTTCTGATTACGGCTGTTTTTCGTCATTTCATCATGAACATCACAATACAAAGCCTGATGGCTATATAACCATCTTGACCGAAATCATATCCGGTTGACTGACTAATCATTATAATGATTCTCTAGTTTGCTCTTATGTTATATTTACTTATCGTCTGCTGTATTTTGTTTTCTTTCTATTATCTAATTTGCATCCGAAATCAATGTATATTAATGGTCTTTTTCTTTTCTATTGAAAGAAATAAAACCAAGATTTATTGAATTGTCTTCCTTTAGATTACGTATTGAAACACATACAAGTATCAGACAAGTGTGTTTGTATCTAAAACAAAAAAACATTAATGTGTTTATATTGCAGAAAAAAAGGACAAACTTGATCGATTGCGATCAACTAATACATCATTGAATGTCACAATTTACAAATATTTGTGAACATTGAAGAGAGTCAATATTGTAATCGACTTCAATAGTCATATGTATAAGCTATCATTATTTATTATCAATAAGATGATAAGAATGGTTGATTTTTAAATAAATACTTTGACAGATAGTTCCGATTTTTATCATGACAAAGTAAAGATATATACATACATATATAAAGATGTCAATTCATATAAAAAAAATGAATAGTGTTCATTCAATGTTCAATCGATCAATCATTGAAGAAAGAAAATGAAGCGATACTAATGGAGACTGTTTGACTTTTTATCGTTTATATTCAAGTAATTAATCGTGTGAATTAGATTGTTTTCACATTGTTATGATATATACATATTTCGACATTTGTCTAAACGAAAAAGTTATCTGATTTTTATAAAGAGAGACAGAGTGAAAGTTTTATTTTATTCATTTTTCATCATACTCATATATATATATATATATGTATAGTTGACCATTCAATGCTCACCCTGTTTAATATTCATTTTCAACTAGACGAATTTATAATATTTATTTAAGAGCAAACATGTACTATGATGCATCATTCAACAAAGGTTTCATTTTCATTTGAAGAAGCTGCTGTCACAATTTGACATTCTGCTTTACAAAACTTATCGACTGAATTTAAACTAACATCTATTGACATTGTTGAAAATTTTCAATCGTCATCTCCATAAGACCATGTTTCATTTGTACAAAAGAATACACAAAAAAAAGTACATAATGACTTTATACATATATCTCGATAGACATTATATCTTGAAGAATAAATAAATAGAAACTCTTAGTTTTAGTATCTGTGCGTTACTAATGTTCACACTAGCATAAAAGAAGGTTGTGTATAAACTCAATAATTAGACAACGACAATAGCTAGTAACCTGCGATTTTCAGCGATCGAAAGAGAAGAACTTCAGACGTCTTTTTTCCGACACTGTATAAGACAAAATTATGTTTAAACTCAACATATTTGCAAAAAACACTTAAAAAATGAATGAAAGCAGTGGATCGTTTCAAGAAATCATAAAATTTGTAAAAACCAACAAAACTATATAATTTAATCTAATAGATGCACAATTTTATTTATTCATTATGAAGATTTGAGAAGATAATCACCTGAATCGTGCTTTGAACCATAGATTTGGAATCGCTCTATGTGAAGTATATCTCAAAATAAAAGTTACACCGAAATGGACACATTATTTTCATACTCTTTTCAATGTTTTGCGATGATGATGGGTTTTAAAATAATTTTGTCTTATATGGTATCTCTTTCGAATTCTGGAAACCATAAATCATTAGCTATGGAGCTTACATTCATCCTGCTTTAATTTTGCCGTGGACATTAGGCACTCTTTTAATGAATGTAAATAATCGTACGTACTTTATGATGACGAGAATAATTGAGTTCAGTTCAGCATAATAGAATACTAAACCAAATAGTCATATAATTATAATAGATAATGTAAAAGCTCATGTTCAATTAATTCTGACTCTACCTTTATTAATGAGAACGTTTATCATTAACATGTATAGGAAAAGCTGACCCTTATAATTCTATTGCTTAGCGTTATTTTAATTTATTTTTAATTCTCATAGTATCAAATAGAGAATAAAAGTTTGTTTTTTACATAACGTGCAAATTTTGTCACGCATATGATGACATTAAGAAGCTTATTTTTTTTTAATCTTATAATGAATAAAAATTCAAGTGTATTATATAAATAATGAATTTGTTATTCTGATTCATCATTCACGTTTGTTTTTATATAATAAAGAGAACCGAATAAGAAAAACGAAACGAAACATTAATTACAAAGACTGATTAATAATTAGACAGTAATTGAAACATTATGAATAAAACTAGACGGTTTTGTTGCTGTTGTATTACTAATATTATTATTCGTTGTTGAAATAACAACTGGTATAGAATCACCTCGTTGCATTATATCGCATGTTGAATTGTTCATTTGAATATGAATAAATGCAGTTGTACTATCATCAGTTGTTGATGATGATGATGAACTTGTTGTACTTGATGATGAACAAGATAATGATGGTCGATATTGAATTAATATTGAAGTTGTTGATGGTACTAATGAGTCATTTTCAATTTGATTAAGACTTAAATCAGAAAAGTGTCTTTCTATTGTAGATTTTAATGGTGGATTAGCTTGTGGTAATGATGGTTCAGCAAGAACAACATGTCGTAATTGTTGTTCCTTTTTAATTGTTGTTTTAAATGGATCAGGTGATGATGATGATATTGGTTTTAAAGATTTTTTTAAAACAGGTGGTATATGATGTGGTAAAGAACGTCGAGAAAATGGTGTTCGACGTATATATGGTGATGAAACAGTACTACTAACACCTCCTGTACTAGTACATTTTGAAGATGGAGACGAAAAATTTCTTGCTTCATCATAACTATTATATGGATGACGTAAATTACTTATTGAAGATGATATTGATGATATTTCTTGTTGATGATTAAATAAATGAGTATTTGAATGTGAGGGTTGATGTTGATTACTAAACATAAATACATGGATGAAAAAAATCAGTAGGAATTTAATAATAACTAATTAAGAGAATAAATGAATGTCATCGTTGAAGACTTACTCAAATTCTGTCTAATGAGGAAACCGTCCGAGATGATACTTCGTATTTCAGATTAGATCTCAGTCATTAAGTAAAGTCTATTAAAACTAGAATAAACCTAGCAGGGTTCTTTTACAAGCACTGTATCTTTTTGGATTTATGGCCATTACACTGCATTTTTTTTGCTTTGGCATGTGATTTATAAAAAAAAACACTGGACAGACAACTTTTGACCTATAGCTTTGTCCATAGACCGCTCTTGAGGTCATTATAATATCCTAAAACTTCAACCAAAAAGAATGGTCTCTTCTCAAAATATCAAATCTACAAAAACCATATTTCAAGATCTAGTTTCTTTTGTAGATTTTGATATCCTGAGAAGAGACCACTCATTTTGACTGAAATTTTTAGAAGATTCTTATGATTTCAAGAGCTGTCTATGGGCAAAGTTTTAGGTTAAAATACGTTCGTCCGCTTTTCTTTTATGAATATCGTATCAATGGTAAACAATGCAGTGCAACGGTTTTGACTCCATAAAGGGCAACGTATGGAGAAGAATTCTTCTAGGTTTTTTCTAATCTCAGCAGGTGATACATAATGACTGGAATCTGATCGTAAACGCGATATATCACCTTGGGTAGTCTTCTCGTAAGAGATTTCTCAATTAGAAAAAAACAAAACAACATCCAAGAACTTTGTTTTTTTCTTTACTGAAGCTATTTTTAATTTTTTCCTAGATAATAATTATTCTGTAAGCCTTTCAAGTATTAATTAAAAAGAAGATTGATATTTAGATTATTATATAGGAGAAAAGTATGTGTTTTTCAAAAAGAAGAAGTATCATTGAATTTTCCCATTCATTCACAACATCTTGAAAGAAATAAGAGAAACGGTTAATACTAATGAATGGAATGATGAAAATTCTTTTTCATCTATAAAGAAAATTAGTAGGTCAAAATAAAAATACAACAAAATTGATTCTGTCTATTCCTTTTATCTAGCTAGAGAGAATATATTTAAGTGTCCCCTCCAGATACGAGACGCGTAGTCTACTTTCTATAGAATTTTTTTCACTGATCACAATTATCAAGTCTTAAATGGCATTAATCGAACTTTAAAAAGAATCGAACGACATAAAATATAAGTCTCATGTAAAGCGAGTATTTTCATGAAAAATCAAATATCTTAGAATTAACTACAAAATATCGCGTTGTATTAGTGTTAATATCTTTACTCTGTTATTTTCAACCAAATCAAAACTTATTTTTAGAAAGTTTATAATGAAAGAATTCTTTATGAAACTTAATATTTTGTACTTAACTCTAAGATAATTGATTTCTCATGATAATACGTGCCTTAGAGGAGAATTACATTTTATGTTCTTTGAATTTTTTAAAGGTTTGATCAATGACAACAAAGACTATCAATATTTGAGATCAACAAAAAACAAATTCTCTAAAAAATAGGCTAGATCTAATCTTGCTTCTATGGAGGACAGTTAAGTATGTTTCCTTGTAAATCTTATTTCAAATAAAAATTCCTATTACTTTTCCTGTTGTTGACTTTCATGAATATTTCTTTTTACAATTTGTGTAAATGCACTGTTACTGGATATAGACAATTGATATTTCATTCGATTAGAGCTATCCGATTTTAAAACAGCTGTATTATTATTATTTTTCATTGATTTTTTAATCGGAAGATCTTGCACAAGAAGACCATGTTTTTTTATTGTATTTGAAGATGAACGTAATGAACGAATATTTGATAAACGTGCATGACGTTGTGTTGATATATCAAAACTACGATTATTATTATTATTATTATTATTATTATTATGTGATGATGATTCACAATCTGAAAAACCGGAATCACCACCACATGATGATGATGTAACATCTTGACGTTTTTTACATGATAATGAATTTTGAAATAAAAATGATTGTGAACCAAGTGTTGATGATAATGAAAATTTTTTAGTTGTTGATGGTGTTAATATTGATGTATTTGTTGATGGTGATTTTGTTTGACATGATTTACTTGTTTGAAAATCATATGGTTTATACAAATTTTCTATATCATTTGAATATTTTATTGATTGTCGTCGTAACATTGGACGACAACATACATATGGTACAAAACCTTCTTCATTGTCAGCTGTTTTAACAAATAACCATTCATTTAAAATAAATTGAGCATTTACAGGAAAACCTATTTATAATTTAAAAAAGAAACAAACATGAATCTTCGATTAGAAAGGATTAATCTATTTTTGATAGAAAATAATTTACCACGTTGAATTTCAATTTGTTTTTTTTGTAAACCTTTAGCATCAGGACTAAATGAAACAACAACTAACATTGGTATATTAGCTGGTAAACTTGAAGATGCCCGACGTAGTTTTTCAGTTATACTTATATCATCTTCACCATCTGATTCGTCTATATTTGCTTGACGACTTAATCGTCTTGGTTTATCTAAATAAACACATATGTTGTCTACTATTCTTCTATTTATCGATATAGTTAAAATAGTATAACAATCAGTGAAAAAATATTTACAAAAACAACAAAAGAGGATTTTACCCGATCGTATAAGTTCATGTTGATCGATTGATTGTTGTTCATTAGTTTTAGTTAATGATTCAGGTAAATCATCATAAAATGAATCTCGTTTAGCTGTCGTACATAAACATGTTTCTAAATACCATTAAAAAACAAAATAAAAATATAAAAATTTATTTCACTGAACAACAAAAAAAATGTCGAGTGTATAAAAATGACTCTCACGTTTATTTGCATCACCGGATGAACGGGTACGAACTCGTTCAAAGATCCGCTTTAACAACATGATAATAAGACTTTTAATGTTCTTTGTTAAAATAGATGCTGTAAATGACAGAGAAAAAGGGAAAGAACGTGTTACGGTTTTACCGTTACACGTCGACCACTATTTCTCTTCTTCTTCGTCTTCTTCTTTTACATCACATCGATGCACATGAACGAGAAGTATGTGTACAGGGACATAAATGAATACCGTATCGAATATGTGTGTTTTATACCAATGTGCACGTCACCTTGGACGTTGATCCATCGAGAGAAAGAAGAATTTGACGACAAGTGTAAAGAAAGACAAAGAGAGAAAGAGAAGAAAGCAACTGCTATGATGTTGTCTCGTCGATTATCTAGAGAAGTGTGAAAAACCATATAACTATCCTTAAAAAAATAATCACCATCGACTGAATTGGATAGAATCGATGAGCCGATAATCAAGTTTGTATGCAATCAGCAAGACATAGACATACAACATTTTCTCGTTTATACATTCTGAGAATCTCGTAAGACCAAGTTCTTTTTTCCTTCTTCTCGTCATTATCAACATACAATTATACTCAAGAGAAAGTCTATCACTAGCTAATAGACATCTGTTCTAAGGCATCATATCAATACAAACTTTGGAAAAAATTCTTTTTTTTCACTTGATGTTAGTTTTTTTATTCATACCTATTAAATCAAATAGAAATTGTGTTTTTGATATCCATGTTTGTTTCATATGAAACATTTCGGTAATAAAATAATTTCTATATGAAATTATATTTCAATCAAGACGGCGGACAATTTTCATTGAATCTTAATACGAATCAAATCGAGGTCAATCGAACAATGATGATCAATAGAAAGATGCAGCAGCAACAGCAGTAACAGAACAAGAGAGAAAGAAATATATATATTTTAACTTGCTCTCTCTATCCTTCTCTCCTAGATTCATCCATTTTCATTAAGAACAAAAGAAGAAGAAAAGAAATGAGCTTTCCAATTTTTATAATAAGTAACTTGGAGAAAGAATAAATCTATATGAATGTAAAGCATGAATTCACTTCTTTACTAATTGACAAAACTTCACAGAACATCCGACTATTATTAAATAAAAAAAAAATAAAAAAAAAAACCTAATTGAACAAAACCAAGGTCACGTAGCACCTGACTAATTGCTAGAAGAGTGCCAGATGAAAAAAAAATCATGCTTAGGTACATAATATTCCTGACAATCTTTGATCACTACTAAATTTGATACCATTGTCTGATTATTTTTTGACCTCGAAAACGATTAAATACGTGATTCAATTAACTATCAGATATATATATATATATACAGATTCCTGTGTAATACACACATATGATTTGTTACTATTCTTGTACTCAATAGCATTTGAATGATAGGTTAGCACATGCGAATACATTCATCATCTTACTCTACTTGATAAAGTACTTGCTGTTGGCAAATACATATATATATATATACCTCTACTATTACTAGTATAACTACTATCATCATCAGCAATTGTCGTTTAAAGCGGGCAATATAAACGTAGTAATAGGCGGACGACAGCGAGTAGGATAGTTACGTCAGTCATTCGCTTGGATGGAGTAGTAAGAGAAAGTGTATATGTATGTCAAACGAAGGTCTAATTTCTGTCGTTTCGATGTTACATCGATGAAGAATGCAAGTACATATAAGTGTGTATGTGCCTCGATGATTCTATATTGTTGCATTGCGTGCGCATATATATATATATATTTATAAACGCATCTATTTATAAATACTCGTTTATTCAAAATGACATAAAAAATTCTTATTAATTTTGTTTTTATGTTTCATTTAGGAAATATAATTTCTATACAACTAATTATTGTTTATTTCCTTTTTTGTTTTATATCTCGAAGATAAAAACCATGAACTTTTATTTCTATTTATAATTTAAATTTAATCATTTCACAAGATCTATTATGGAAAATTTTGTTTGAAATAATGGTCTTTCCTGTCATACACATATATGTGTACCATTGCGTGTTCATATTTTGTGTTATTCTTAGATGAAGATTAAAACGATATGTATGATGTATATGCATACGTGCACGCATTGGCTCGCAGGCCAGCAAGATGATTAACTCTACCTATTCGTTTATTCTTTGATAAATTAGAGCATGCAAGAAAACAAGTGTCATTGGAACATGAAGAATAAGTGACGAATAACTGAAGTCTAACTAATTTTTTTATGCTATTTGCACTAATAGCTTTTTTTCTCATTGTCGTCAATGAACTAATTCAGTAGAAGTTCACTTACTTTTGCCTAGTAATCGACGTGCCAAACCTGGCATTGTGAATAATCAATTGTTAGAAGGTTGAAAGAGAAGGCGTACAGACGGTAGTTCGAGATCTAAAAGAAATAAAAACGACAAATGGAAGGTCAAAGAATATAATATGAAATGTAATTCTATTCTAATAATCAAAATGAAACAATGTCAAATGGCTATCAACCAAAAGAATGCTAAAAAATCTTTTTCTTTTTTCCTTTTTGTTTCTTTTTATCCTATATTAAAAAAGCAAGATTTGTCAAATTTAAGAAAATTTTTTTTTTTGTTCTTTCTGACATAATGGCAACAGATTGATGGCATGAAAAATTGGACTAACTATGACATAAAAAGAAACTAGAAGTCTATGTTAATAAGAGAATGGGCAATGCAATAGAGAGAGAGAGAGACAGAAGAATCTGTAACAAGACAATTCTTATTCTCTCTTTCGTTCTCGTATTCTCTTCTTTTTCTATTCACTACAATTTATAGGACGAGAGCAGTAGAAAGAGAATACTGTCATTTTTTTTTCACAATCATGTTCTAATTGTACTACTCGTATTCTTTTGCACTGGCAAACAACTAGACGAGAATAGAAAAAGAGATGATGCTGAATAAATGCTATCAACGTTCAATTTCTTTTTCTCTTTCATAAACATTGCTGTCTGTCCTGTTCATCGTCCCTGAATAGATAACGAGAACGCGATGACCATCATCAACATTACTGCCGACGTTCGAGTATAATAGTTCTTCTCTTGTCAGAAGCGACATACATCTGTTCAAGAGAAAGTATATATTAAAAATACATAGTTGATGTCTGCACGAGACACAATTGATTTTACAGATGCGCAGCATCATCCATTTTTTTTTTCTTCTTCGCTTCATTCAAAGGGTTTCCAACATCATCAATACAAATAGATAATTCTAGTGGTCAGAAGGAAATAAAAAGAAAAATCTACTATGCCAAGGAAATAAATTCGTTTTTTTTTATTCTGTTCGACTAGTGACCCCGCCTGGTGGAAAGAAATGCATGACTATCGTGTCATTTGACCAAGGCGGTAAGCTTATTGATCAAGACAAATGATGAGAATAGGAATGAATCTTTCTCTTTAATGAATGTCATCATCGTCTGAAAAAAAGAGCATTTGAAGCAATAGTAAATGCGTGCTTTGCCTGTTTTTTGTCGCTTTCTCTATACTCACATCAGATGATCTTAAGAATAAATAAATCTATAGACATACTGAAGGAGACTAAACATCATTCAATAGTAGTCATAATCACTAGTTGAAATTTGATTTCTAATCGGATTATTATGTATACATATATGAAGATGAGCAATTTTCAATAAATCATTTGGATATCTGTTGACAAAAACAGTTGATAATGTTGCTCGATATATAATTCGATTCTTTAGTGATTATATTCACAATAGAATGAATAAGATTACCGCTCTCTTCTTTCTTCTCGATATATATTTAAAAATCCTTTAATTAATTCTTGTAATATGAGTCCATTAAAAAGTAGACCAAAAAATGTCAACATATAACTACAAAATCTTCCTATAATTGTTAATGTAAAATGTGGATTAGTATGTCCAAATCCAATTGTAAAACTAAAATATTTTATTTCCTATTTAAAATAATTAATATATTTAAATAAATCAATTAAACCTAAGTGAAGTTGCCCACCAAAATGCATCGAAATGAGTTTTCATTGTTAATTTATTAGTTTGATCTTCTTGTTGTCGTCGTTCAAATGCAAATGCTATTTCACTAAATGCTCCTATTATAATAATATTTATGAAAACTAATATACAAATAATTTGTAATCTAAAAAAGAAGAATCAATAAATCTTTTATTTTACTCAAAAGAAAACTCTCTTTATACCGTTGAATACATGTTTGAATAATTAATCTTAATATACGTAAATGTGCAATAATAAGTAATAAGCGAAATGTTTTTAATAACATAATTAAACTATTTATAAAATAATAATTTGTTATTATCATGAAGTTTTGACTAACGATTATAAATATACTTAATATAGTAGAAAATAAATCTAATAGAAAACATTTATTTCGAAAAAAATCTTTTCTATAAATCACTCGATAAAGTATAGTACTAGGTAATAAAATTATACTAAATAATTCAATAAAATAAGTTAATGACCATGATGAATTTAAAAAATGATTATTAGATATTTCCATACTTATTGTTATCATATATAAAATACTAATAATAAATGGTATTGTGAAAATAAAATAATTCTTATTTTTGTTTTTGAAAGTTTTTTTTCTTTGAAAATATTGATAGGTTGGAATTTTATTTATTTCATGATATATATTTGAATTATTTAATTTAAAAAATTGACATTCATTTTCTAATAATTCAATAGGAATATTATGTGGACAGAAAATTTTCTTTTCTAATGTATAATATGTTAATATATAAGAAAATAATAATGGATTTCGTTCAAAATAATAATCTTTTATATCATGACGATAATATTTCGAAAGTAATAATTCATTACCAAGTAATGTTTGAGGATCATTAGCTACTATTCTATATGGTATATGAAAACGTTTGCCTAATAGATTTATTATTAGAATTTTTTCCATTTTTTTTTCTATGTTCAGAAACTGTTTGGCGCGAACTTTGTTTTCCTTTTATTTGTTATCCATTTGAAGTAGGTACTCAACTATTGAATATCCATAAGCATTTTGCTTTTGTTGTAAGATAATAATTTATTTACAATAGGAAAAAATGAAAACAAATTCATTTTAAATTATTGAAATTATTAATCTGAATTCAGTAAGATCAAAGGAGGCACAAATAACAGTTAAAAAAAGAAACATATTTAGACATTTGACCATAACAAGATGCACATAACCACCGGAGCAAACAAAAAAAAAGAATTATTGCTCGCTTATGATAGAAAGAATTTCATCTTTTTTGTTTTTCTTTTTTATAGAAGTTCTAATCGGTCCTTTTTAGGTATTAATAATTGTAATCTTGATCGACTAATAACTGTTTTATTTTTAGCTGCTAATTTTGATTGTTGCTGTTGTTTAGCAGAGAATAATTGTTGTTCTTGAAGAAAATTTTCTATTGAACCAAATTGTATTAGTACTTCAGTACGACTTTCTTCATCAAGTTCATTTAAATTAATCCATAATAAATTTGTTTTAAGAATGTCATCAGAAAATTGTTCACCAAATATAGATACACGTTGTTTTTGTGGTAATGCTGTTGGACGTGGTGGCGGTGGTGGTGGTGGTGGCGTTGGTGGCTGTGGTGGCGGTGGTGATGATGACGATGATGAATTAACTACTGTTTGTTTTGTTGATGATGTATGAGAAGTTTTACTGGAAACTGAAGTTGACGTACGATAATTTGAATTATTATTATTCACTGTTGATGAACGTGCTGAACGAATCGATAGTGTATCCATCGGTGATGTGCGTTGTTTGGTTAAAGTCGATTGTTTCGGTTGTATTGGACGTGTTGGAGTTGTAATCGCTGTGATAGGTCGACGAACAGATGGTGTATATTTTTTTATTGTAGCAATAGCAGCAGCAGTCGATGAAGATGATGCTTCTATTGGTAATGAAGGCTTAAGACGTTTGATTGGACCTGGACGATTTTCAACATCACATGACGATGCAGATCGTTGTACACCTTGGCCAGATCGTAATGGAATATTATGACGAGAAGATGTTGAAAGTGAAGTTGTAGCTGTTGTACTTGATGTCGCTGATGATGTTGATGTTGGCGATACTTGCATTGGTGACGAACTTGCAGCTATACATATATATTAAAATAGATATTATTAAGAAACCTTTTCTTCGAACGATAATTATACATACTATTTGACAATGAATGACGTCCTTGCCGTTTGGCAACATTGAGCCGAACGCCCATGGCAGCTTCAAGTGCCTCAAGACGAGACTGTAAATTGGGTCCCAGTGATTCTAAATATATTTCAATAGAAGAGCAATCAATCAAGCAAATCAATCAATATGGATTCTCCCGTTTTTTTTCTCGCCTCTCATTTTCTTGTATATATTTCCTTGAGAATCTACCTGAACGGTGCAATCTTGACGTTGTATGCATACTATATTTTACACGTTGTATCAAAATCAGATTACAAAATTCAATAGAAGAAACGGTAGGCAATTCACCACTTCAATTTGTGCGTGTATGTGTGTGTGTTTATGTGAAAGAGAAAAGAATATGCTGCCGCGTTCTAACATGCTAAAAGCATGGTGCACAGATCTGCCTCATTTCATGATCTCCTTTTTTTTTTCTTTTTTTTTCTTTTTGTTCTTTTCCTTATTTTCTTCTTTATCTTAGTTCTTTTATTTATGTGTGACAATTGTCAACGGAAAAGAAACTTACGCTCGCTATGACCAGTTGTGACGCTAGTAGTTGAAGCACGAGATGTTGTTGATGCTGTTGATGATGTTGTTTGTAGTTTAGGCATATTTATTTGAGAAAAACTTTTTGATTCATATAATTAATGTTAGAAATAGAGAAGTGTAATCTTTACTAAGCATCAACGATTGATTTTAACCTTCTGGTATATGCGCATGTTACTTCTCATTCGTTTTCGTTTCTCTGTATCTCTCTCTCTTTCTCATTCTCGCTCAGTCATCCATCCCATGCCTTCTTGTTCTTTGCCGTTCGTTTTACTTATGATGATATGCTTTATATGTAATAAATGATGAGTGTATCGAGTGATGTAGGAGGGTTGAGGACAAGGTTTCTTACTCGATATTCAACGTCAAATGTATGAACGAAACGAGCAATGAGCGACGAGCGATTAAGTCATGCTTACAAACAAGTAGAGAGGCATACGAATAGGTCGAAAGAAAAAGAGACGAGTAAGCGGCGAGTTAGAAAGAGAGCGGAAAAGGTGTTTCAACATATACAACTCACAAAGGACAGTTACGTGGCGCACGCGCCTATACTCATAAGGGATTAGAGGTCGAAAAGAGTGTGCGAGACTCTTCTCTTTCTTTTTTTTTTCTTTAATCTCGTACGGTTACAAAGCTAGCACGCTCCCGTCTAATTGGACAGACTTCTCGATGTCTGTCCAAACATAGGAAAAAGTCAAAAGTACACACCGTAATTTTATTAAACTAATAAACTGAACACCGAAGAAATTGATATTTAAAGTTTTATGACGAAGTCTCATTTTCATTCAATTCAAATTTATTGACCGATGTTAAAGATCGTTGTTGTTCGTGTGAATGTATTATATTCTTGTCAAGTTTGGCGTCGTCTATTTGCTTTGTAATGAATTTAATATCAAATACATTTTTTTCTGTGCGTATTGATGTTGCCATGATGAATGCTTGAGTCAACATGATCGTTTTCTTCTTCATTCAGTATTGTACAAGAAACATATAAGTTAAATTCTAATAGTAATAAATCGATAGATTTTTAGTTTCTATTGAATGCAATCTTTTCAATTTATCTTTTATGTTTCTGTCATTTTTTATGAAATTTTTCTTTTTTTTTCTTTTATATAAATGATTAGTCTTCTTGATAAAGTTAATTAATATTTACATGTTTGTTTTCTTTTTGGTTACATTCATTGTTTTATCACTTAATAAATATCATTTTTTCTATTTTTCTATTGATTTTAGAATAATAATTTTTTTCTTTTTCGAATGAAGTCTTTTCGTACATGAATTGATTTTCGTACGTTATCATTGATGATTATATAACAAAAAAAAAGCTCAATGCATTGATTGATTTGTTTTGTGTAATAAGTGGAAAAGTGTTTTTTAATTAGATTTTATAATATATAAATTGTTGAGTATTAATAGAAAATGTTTTAAAGTAGAGTTAAAAACCTTGAATAAGATAAGTGCGTGTTTTAACAATAAGGTTATTGATAAGATTTGAACTATGATCAAGTGATTTGATATGATTGTAAATTAATTTGGAGCGTTACTGTGATTGTTGAATTGATTTCAAATCGTAATCAACAATTCCCCTGGATGTAAAACATTCAATGTACAGAACGAGATAAAATAGTTTTGATTATAAAAATTTTCTTTTAAATGGTTTTGTAAACGTTTTAATTAAATATCAATTGTGGATTTATCAAATCGATATATTTCATTATTATCTATTTGAAATTCTAGTGATAAGAAGAAGGATTTTTATAGTCACGAGAATCAATACTAATGTTTTCCTATGTTAATTTCTCCAGTTTTATATGAGACTCACCTGATCAAATTTATCCTTCTTCTTTCTGTTCACACATCTCGTTTACTTTGATCAAAAATTCTTCTACAAGATGGAGCAATTCAACATATTCAGCTTCATTCTTAATCCTCAATAAGGGCGTATGTATTGATGTTTGCTTAAAGAATTTTGTCTTTCGTATTATTGCCGTCGTTTGATATCATTATGTCTCACTGTGTTCTTCTATACAAAGACTTTATTTAATTCTGATTAATCTTAACCAAAAATAAAAAATAAAATTCTCTAATTATATATGCAAGTTTTGTATTAACCAAAATTCGATTTCATTTGATCTATGTTTTTTGTATCAATAAATTTTAGCAAAATACTTTAGCAATCAAACCGAAGACATCTACATTTTTTGTGCAACCTTTTTATAAATAAAAAGAATTTGGTTATATATAAATAGAAATCTTCGATACACAAATAAAATAATAATATAAAAATTGCGCAAGGGAAATACAAACAAATACGTCGGCAAAATCTAAAAGTTATTGTTACATTTCGAATTATGCAAGTTATTTGAGAAATCATCATTCTTTATGGCAAAACAAAACAAAGTAAACGTATATTTTAAAACTAAGCCTTTCTTCGAGATGTCATATTGTATAGTTTCAAGCAAATTACTCACAGTAATTTTGTTGCAGTAGAGTTCAATGAAATAAGCCATTAAGCATTTTATTTACAGGAAATGTAATTCTTTCTTCAAAAAACACGAACTGTACTGAATAAGTTTAAGAGATCGTGAATAAAGAAAAAGATTCTTTTCCATTTTTATTCAATCAACATCAACAAGGGTGACCTTCCAATCTTGGAAAGTTTTCGTTTTACTTCTGTCCAGCCGAACAATTTTCTTCATTTGTTTTGATAACCAATCTCCACAGCACGGGTCACCTTCCTGCTGCAATCTTGGTGACTCCGAGACACCTCTGATCATTAGGATAAAATCAATAGCCCTAGAATAAATATAACATGATAGTACTAATAATTCAAGAATGGTATATTAATATTGATAAACATGGATTCTAGTTTTACACAGTATGTTCATTATTATTGACTCTATTAATAAAGAAAAAATATTTTTTATTATTATTTGTTTTCCTTTAATTGCTTTGAACCGTGAAATGACAGCTATTTTATTCTACAATACGAACACAAACTAAGAACTGGTTAAGACTATTGAGAAATACCATGATGAAAGAAAAATGTAAGAAAAAAAAACCAAGTTCTTCTCAATAAACAAGATGATTGACGTTCTTATTTGTTTATTATAATCTTGAATGAATATTTATGAATTTCTTTCCGAAATCTTGATTGTAACCTATAAAAAGAAATCAATAAGACAATAAGAAAGCCTTTT